TTAGTCAGAAGTCTCATCTAAGCAGCCATATACTTATTCACACAGGAGAGAAACCTCATGTGTGTGAGGTATGTAAGAAATCATTTAAACAAAAGAGTATTAAACAGGCATATGCTTATTCACACAGGAGAGAAACCTCATGTGTGTGAAGTATGTAAGAAGTCATTTAGTCAGAAGTCTACTTTAAACACCCATATGCTTATTCACACAGGAGAGAAACCTCATGTGTGTGAAGTATGTAAGAAGTCCTTTAGTCAGAAGTCTTATCTAAGCAGCCATATGCTTATTCACACAGGAGAGAAACCTCATGTGTGTGAAGTATGTAAGAAGTCCTTTAGTCAGAAGTCTACTTTAAACACCCATATGCTTATTCACACAGGAGAGAAACCTCATGTGTGTGAAGTATGTAAAAAGTCCTTTAGTCAGAAGTCTCATCTAAGCAGCCATATACTTATTCACACAGGAAAGAAACCTCATGTGTGTGAGGTATGTAAGAAATCATTTAAACAAAAGAGTGACATAAACAGGCATATGCTTAGTCACACGGGAGAGAAACCTCATGTGTGTGAAGTATGTAAAAAGTCCTTTAGTCTGAAGAGTAATTTAAACACTCATGCACATATTCACACAACCGAAAAACCTAATGTGTGTGAAGTATGCACGAAGTCATTTAAACAAAATGGTGATTTAAAGAAGCATATGCTTAGTCACATAGGAGAGAAACCTCATGTGTGTGAAGTATGTATGAAGTCATTTAATCAGAAGAGTAGTTTAAACACTCATATACGTATTCACTCAGGAGAGAAGACTTGTGTATAAAGTATGGATAAATTCATTTTTAATAAAGGATTATTAAGATATGCATATCGACAGAAGAGGGAAATCTGTCGTGCATAGAAGTATTCATTTGGACAGCAGAATAATTCGAAAAAATATGCGTTGATCTAATCACAAGAAAAGCCTTCTGTCTTTTGAGGAGATGTTAAATTAGTATCAACATTTTATTTATCAATGTAGTAAAGATTTGTGTACACAGCGAAGAAATCTTTTTTTTTTTTGCGGTCAAGTCAGTTTGAATCACAACAGTTGTCAGTATTAATTGATGGGAAAATTCTTGGTAATAAAAGAGCCATTTAGTGGCAGAGTTTTAGATTTAAAGGTAAACTGGGTGCTGCTGATGCTGTGGAGAGGTTTTTGAATTGTCATTTGATATAAATAAATCATAATCTAATTATTTTTTTTAAAAAGCAAAAAACTACGTTTATGCAAGTTTTTATCTCAATTGCATTTTTAACTAATGCTGACTTGAAGCTATATTTGCTTATCTATCCTACCTTAAAGACTCTTTAAAAACTGCTTATTCCGACCTTGATTGAAAAAGCTGGGATTGTTGTTTTGTTCAGTATCTGCCATGATGTGTTTTGTGTTTCTTCCACCTTTTTGGAAATTTGAATTTTTGATCCTGGATATCACTTTTCACAGATTTTCGAATCACTCATATTCAGTGTTACATCTGTTACCTAGCAAAATGCACTGTGGTGATATTATGATTGTTACCAATTTGACATACTTCTGAGATGCAATTCTGGAGCAGGGCGAAATGCTTCATCCCATAAGTGTATTGTAACTTGTATCTTCTTTGTGCTAAAGACATTTCAGAGTTTATCAATCAAAGCTATTGAATTAATGATAGAGATGCCTTTCTTTTCTTGTAATGAAATAATATATTAGGTGATTTCTTTATTGTGTTAAAATACTAAAGACCTGCAGTCAAACTAGACAGTTCCATTTTTTTTACATATTTTTTATCTAATTAAATCTATTATCAGGAAATATTCTCAGTATGACTATGCAGCTGCAATATGAAATGTCTCGAGTCTATAACATTCTAAAAGGAGTATATGGTTATGACATTATACTGATAAAGAGAAATGAGGTCTTGTAAGATAAAATTCTTTCAAATCCTGGACATACCAAGTAGAGCAGTGCCATGTGTGTAAAGTACCTAAGAAGACATTTGAAAAAATGAATCAGTATTGTGGTATTTCGATGCAGGTAAGAAACTCAAATATAGTACATATATATTCAAAAACTGGGTAGAAGTTAACAATTGGGTGCCCCTTGTTTTTTTTTTTTTTTTTTTTTTTTTTTTGCGATTCCTTTTAAATGCTAAGATTGGTGCCAGGAAGGCACAATTTTAAGATGGTCGCTACACAAAACCAAAATAAGAAGTCAAAGAATTTGCACAAACCTGGTGTCCATGTACATATCGCTCTATTTTCACTTAAAAGAATATTGGAGAATTGCACAAACTAGGCATTATTCACTGCCTTAGCTTTGTCCATGTACACATTGATCTTTTTTCATTTACAAAAAATCAGGAAGCTAATCATGGCCAAAATTGAATAAAATTTGTTGCTAACCGAAGGGCACCCAGTTCTACACTAGGGCTAGAAGCTGTTCTATGTTCTTTATGCAGTGTTGAAAGAAACTTTCTTTTTAATTTGCAAGGATGCACACTTTAAAAGCATGAGCATGTGTGCAAAAAAAAAAAAAAAAACTATTTTACTTGTAACTTTCTCATTGTTATTGGCAAAAATCATCATTATAAGAATCTCGAGCATAAAAAAGGAAGTGTCTCAAATGGTTTCCATTGTAATGCAGCTTTGTAACTGAATAGAAACTAGTAATATATGGCACTTTGCCACCATTTTTATGGTTTTTAATTCAAGGAAAACCTTTTTCTGGAATCTATAAGATGTGTTTGTAAAGCAGGACTCTCATAGAAATTTTCTGTGTTACTTTAAAATTTTATTTCAGGGAATTTATTGAAGTAACTTTGCTGTTCTTCAACCTGTTTGTTTTATTTGGTACTTTTCCGTTTCCCCGGCGCAAACCTCGCCGTTTCCCTTTCTCCGGCACAAATCTCACCAAGCAGACTTTATTGGCGACATCACACAGTATATACATAAAAAAGTGTTAATTCTAAGAATTTTTTTTATTATGGAAGCATAAATATTTTAATATCGCTTAGAATTTTTTCAAATGAGTCTTCTGTGTCCTTTCGCCACATAAATTCGGCGAGGTAACTTTCCAGATGATGCCGAGCAGTTCCTCTGTGTTTCTTATTCCGCCATTTTGCTTCTTAGTCTTTCAATTTTTCGCATGTGCGTTCCAGTTTCCGGATCTACAAAATTGTATTTATGGTTCCCTTTGAAATGTTCGAAGCTTTCCTCTTCCAGTTTTTCAGTGCAATATGATTTCCATGAATCGGAATATATTGTAGTTCCTTTTTCGATGTTTTCATTTATTGCCTCTTTATATAATACTCATGGATCAGTTTGGCACCATCACAAGGAAACATTTGTTTGTTTCACGACAAACTGCACCAAAGATCCACTGTTGTGGTAAAATACATCTCATGTTGTTTTTGCGCTTCGTGAATATACTTTCATCCACTTCAACGATCATACCAGGTCCTCCTATTTTGCGTTGTTGACAAACCTCTCGCATGTAGTTATTCCAATCCACAACTGTTCTGTGACTGATTTCCAACTGCTTTTCACACCATTTAACTGAAGTTAATTCTTCACTCCAACAATAAATAAATCTTAAACATTTCAAGAAACTCAATCTCGATGGTTCAAACCATGTGCCTTTCCGTATACTTCTTTTACTGCGTCAAGTTGAAAGGTTGCAACGCCATTGAATTTCGTCTCCGAAATATATTTCATTCATGATTATTTTCAGAAATAGCAAGGTTAGGCAAAACGCCTTTCGCTTGAAAGAATCTGAGAGATTTCTTCTCTGTCCTGGGCAAAATCCCAAATTTTCATTGGGTTTTTCATCCATTTTTGACATATTTGTAAAAGACGTTAATTTAAAAATTTAAAGACATTAAAGATTTACTATGCTTTCACGGTACAAACTCTTGATTTGCCTCTTAATATCACGTGATCCTAAACGGTCTAATCTCATGTAAAATATGCTACAAAAATCTGATTCTCTCAGGAATTATCTACATTAATTTCAAGTTAAATCTCAGTATGGAATGCGAGTTTAAATGCAAGAATTATTTCAATGTTATAATTAAAAAATTCTATGTAACCCTATGCCAATATTGAAAAAAAAGGTAAATCTGATAAAAAATCTCAGCGACTTGTTTTGAAAAAGTGCCGTGAAAAGTTATCAGCGAAGATATTCGCTTTGGCATCATTTATACCATTTTCGGCAACTTTATCGCTTGCGCCGGCCAAACGGAAAAGTACCTTTTATTTAATAAACCATTTTTTTATAAATTATAATCATAAATGCTTTTGTATAGTTTATTTACAGTCTTAAGGATAAAAAAGGGTAAAAAATACAGAAATTATGAAGATATTGAATTAAATTTTTTTCAATATATATATATTAAATTTTATGTTTTAAATGTTTCCCCCCTTAATGTTAATTAATGTATTGTTAATGGTAGTACGAGAAGAATTTTTAAAATGCGTCACTTTTTTTTTTTTTTTTTTTTTTTTTTTTTTATATTTAGCACTTCAAGCATAATATTTAGTCAGTAACTTCTAAAATTTATGCATGTAAGTTTATTATTACACAGACATAAGATATTTTTCATGATATCCTCATAAATTGAATGTAAAAAATACATATGCAGCATGCATCTAATTCAGCATTCTGTGCAACTTTCTATGCATAAAGTAAGGTACAACTGTTTAGAGATAAATATTTGGTATTCATCAGGTATCGGGATCAGATTCAGAAATGTATGCATATATTCATAAATTTCTGAATCCTGTCCCAGTAACAGAAGAGGGGAACCAAATATTAACTAAAATAGCATTAGTCTCGTTTACGTCGTTAAATGCAGAAACACTTCCCTTGCTTTTACTACCACAGACATCTTACTATGATCTAAAGGGTATCAAAATTTACAAAAAAAAAAAGCTTAATATTAATTTGTTTACTTTATTAATTATTTCTTTCAACGCGCGCATGCGTAAACTGTACATAGCGCATAGTCGAAATTAGAAAATTGCAACCAGAAAACTATTTGATGTGTATTCGTGATATTTATAATGACGAGGAATTTCATTTAAATCATATCAAAGACGGAGTACATCGAGATGAAGTACTACATTTAGTAAGAAATTATAAGCCAAATAAAATAAAAAGTCTGCCATTAAGATAAGGATAGTGCTGACAGATCAACTTCCAGTTCATTGCGCTCCGCTATGTTCCCCCTCCCTCCCTGCAGAGCAGCGTGAAATTGATAAACAGATTTCGGAATGGTTAGAGAAACAAAGGATATGCCTTATCCGTTTTTTTCCAGCAATTCCACTTTTTGTTTGTGGACATCAAAACATGCTTTCGCTTGTAGATCCTTTGGCAACTCCAGAGAACGGAAATTCTTTTTCACATAATCGAAAGTTCAAGCTTACTTTTATAAAATTGCTCTAACAGTCTGCAAAAAAATAATAAGCCGGATCCAATTAGAAGATTAAGGAACAACGCAATCTGCAACATTAACTGAAATAGGTAATTAGATAATTTTAGCTTAGCTTATACCGTCCGTTATACCTTAACCTACATGCATAAATGTATTATGCGCATGTGTAAAGGTATTATATATATGCATAAATGCACATGTGCAGAAAGTTTGTAAGCTTTGAGGTCCTGATTTAAAACTTTTAACTGTATTACATTTTTTCTTGTCAAGATTGCCAATGGCTAATCAGTAGGGTTCTAAGCATAATACAGTCAAAAGTCTTTAATCTGGACTCGTCAGGCTTCAGTGATTCCGGATTGTAGATCATCAGTTTAAATCTGGTAAGATGGCAGGCAGAAATTATAAAATTAAAAATATTAAACCGTAATTTATGAAATAAAGAGCAGTTATGATCTAAAGGGTATCAAAATTTATAAAAAGATAAAGAATTCATATTTAATTAATTCTTTTTTTAAAAAAAGAATGTTTGTTTACTTTATTAAACATTTCTTTCAAAGCGCGCAATTCATAAAGCATACATTATGCATAGTCGAAATTAGAAAATTGCAACCAGAAACCTTTGATGTGTATTTGGGATACTCATGATGAGGAATTGGATTTAAGTCATATCAAAGACAGAGTACATCGAGATGAAATACTACATTTAATAAGGAATTATAAGACGAATAAAATAAAATCATCTGCTTTGAAGATAAGGATAGTGCTGACAGATACACTTCCAGTTTATTGCGTGCCTTGAAGTCCCCCCCCCAGCAGAGCAGCGTGAAATTGATAAACAGATTTTGGAATGGTTAGAGAAACAAAGGATATGCCTTTATCCATTTTTTGCAGCAATTCCACTTTTAGTTTGATGGACATCGAAACGTGCTTTCGCTTTGTAAATCCTTTGGCAGCTCCAGAATCGGAAATTCTTTTTGACATAATCGAAAGTTCAAGCTTACTTTTATAAAATTGCTCTAACAGTCTGCAAAAAATTATAAGCCGGATCCAATTAGAAGATTAAGGAACAACGCAATCTGCAACATTAACTGAAACAGATAATTAGATAATTTTAGCTCAGCTTATACCGTCCATTATACATTAAACGTGCATGCGTAAACGTATTATGTGCATGCTTAAACGCATATGCACAAGCATAAAGGTATTGTGGGCATGCGTAAACGCATGTGCAGAAAGTTTGTAGCTTTGAGGTCCGGATTATGGTCCGGAAAAAGACTTTTGACTGTATTAAGCATACTGTCAGCAGGAAGTACATGTTATTGAGCATAAATATGTCTAATCTTTCTTAAACATGTTATTTGGCAAAAGCAGTGTGGCATAAAGCATATGGAAGTTATATTTACATTTATGCCAGAAAAGAAAAAAGAACCTAATATTAAGCATAACTAACAGCAGAAAATAATGATTTTAAACATGTATAAGTCTCATTTAGCTCATTAAAAATGCTACTTAGTGAATATGCACTAAAGCTAGGAGGGGAAGAATATTACCATATTTGACGGCATATAAGACGCACTTTTTTTTCTCAATTTGGTCTCAAAAATGTTACATGCGTCTTATACGTGAAGGACACAGGTTAACTTCAATACTGAATGCTATTTTTAGCACGGATAAAGGTCTAAACACACATATTTTCTACATCTGCCATAATTATTTTGCACATGCGTGAAATATCTGTTGGCAAAAAGCGCCAAAGCTCGAAGCTGATGTCGAAGTTCGAACAGGTTCGACGGTCACATTACTTATATGGATTGCTTGCCGTTCATTCATTTATTCATTATTGAAATTTACATATCATGTTTAAAATAGCTTACCGTTTGTTAATTTTCCTTAATAAAAATATGTTTGGTAATTGCATTCAATGATTGTTTATTTGGCTTTTACGAAACGTGAGAAATAAAAGAAACCACATTTTAAGTTATTGTGGGACTGCGCTGTTGCGCGGAGTATTCAGACTTTTTTCCTTGTGTGTGGTCTTTAAAATAAGGGTGCATCTTATATGCCGTCAAATACGGTAAGTGTATGTAAATAAAATTTGCCTTGTTAAAAATAAAATTTATTACAGTTCAAAGTCCGAAATTCGGACGTCCATTATGCGAAGTTATCTAAAATGTAGACTTTAAAGCCACCAATGTTTTCTCGTAGGCTTTATGCATGCACATTTGATTTCCCCCTCTGCGAATAATAAAACATCTGGAGAGTCTTAATTCTTATTTTCATTTCAACACTAAAATACCTTGTTATTTGTTACAAGGTATTTTAGTGTAATAAAAAACCTAAAATACCTTGTTGTGTTTATGCTAAGCAATCACTTTAGCATAAATTTTTACGATCAGTAATTTGGCTCCGTTGCTGCATATCTGCTTGGCATACATCTCAAACCGAAACATTTCACATAAATACACCATTGATCTGACGCCAACCTGGAGAATCATTATTTGTTATATTTTCCTTGGTACAACTCTGATATAAGCCCTAATTTCACCAAATGTGGCGATATGTGTTCTGCGCTGGTTTTTGGTGCGATTGCGTGTTGTAGGGCAACCCTGTTGATGTTGAAAAATCTTTTGCTGGAGCTCGTTGGTTTGCGTCTGTGTCTCGGAAGGTAAAATGGTGCAAGTTGTTGAATTGAAGTTCGGCAAAAGGAAATGTCATTGTGACCATCCTGTTGAGGGGCAGGGGGTATTTGGAGGTGTGGAAAGAGGGTCTGGGAGATTATTTTTAGTGGCTGTGCATGATAGAAATAGGAATTTGTGATTTTATTTATTTGTGAACCATAGTATCAATTTTCTGGACAGTGTGTCTGCCTGTCATATAAATATGATAGTGATTACATGGTGGCATGTTAAAGGCGGTATGAAATTGGTATTTCTGCTGTTCGAAAAAGCATTAATTCATGGTAAGTACATTTTATTTTATTCTTGTTCCTGTTTTGTAGAATGTTATGTTCATTGTTTTTTTAGTATGAATTTCTGTCATTATTGTTTTTTTTAATTGTTTGAAATTTATTTTAGTTTATTTGTTAATTAGTGCGTTTTGATGATTGTGCAATTCGTAGTTTTTTTTTAAAGTTAAAACAGAACGCTGTGTACATGGTATTCTTTGAAATCTATTGTTGTTATGTTAATTTATTAAAGCGAGGTGTGTGTAGTTCATAGATTTGCTCATTGCCTAGATTGTGTCATTCGTAGATTTTTAAATTAAAACATATCGCTGTGTACATGGATTCTTGTCAAATATTTTTGGTTAGAAACTTTACGTTTTTGCTATTTAAATTTTTTGTTTTTGTTTCAGATTTTTAGCTTAAATTGTGCGTTCAAAACGCAGTTTTTGCATGTGCGAAAACCGCATTTTTGGAGACATTTTAGGCTTAAAGTTAGAAATGTAGACAAAAAATTTAGATAGTAATATGGCAGAGCGAAGTTTATCACCAAAAATATTTGACGACATGAGGGCGCATATCAGAGTAGTTCCTTTTCCTTTCATCACCGCATGTTTATCAAAACATGACAACTTGAGTAATGACTCATGTAGTGATGCTTAAACCTTTTTTTTATGTTAGTAATTGAATAATAAAGGAGTATGATAACCTTTTATGTTGACATTTTGCTTATGATTACAGATTTAAGTTAAATGCGTTAAAAAATGTTGCCGAGGAGAAATTTACCAAAAATTTCTGTCCATATGCTAAAAATAGATTTTGTTGATGATACTCATAGACCTAAAGATTACATTTAGGGCTATTTAAATTAAAGGTACTATTCCATTTTGAGGACCATAAAAAAATTGCAGCGAAAATGTATGCGCTGATTTCAGATTGCGTAAGTTTACATATTTCTTAAGATGCCATTGAAATACTAGTTTAATTTTTAAACCTTTTTTTGATATCCTATGGATTTAACAAGTTGGAAATTACCCATGATGAAAAGTCTGCAATAGATATTCTTCAAAGAAAAGGCATCATTCATTATAGAAAATTATGTTTGAACAACCAAAGAGTTGAAATTACGCTTTAGCGATAACTCGGTAGCAAAATAGTGATGCAGGAATCCATTCAGTTATGTTTAGCATTTTGACTTCCTTGTACAAAGTAAAAAGGAAGTATTATAATCGCAAAAAGTTTCAGGCAAGGTATTTCAATGAAAATATCTATTTTGACCGCTATCGAATGAATGCAATTAACGATGTTTTGGCATGATCTGTGCGTAAGGACAGAATAAAAGACACCCTTTCCTCCAAAAAAAAAAGTTTTTATGCCTTCATAATTCGGAAGCAATGTTTGTACAATTATCAACAATTTAAAAGCTGTTTAAGTGCGGTTAAGTTTAAATAAACATGGCGGACACATTTGTTTACATTGATACAGCAGAATTGTAGATTTGTTGCCAATCTAGAGAGACTAAGCTTCGCAACACAAAATAACGCCTTCATTTATTATTGCGAATTAAATCATGCTTAATCCTTTCTGGAATTTTTCGAGGAAAATAAGTGTTTAAGATTTAGTTCATAAATTTTAATGCAGATATTTTGAGTTTTATGTATTTTTGCCTTGTCGCGAAGTGAAGCTGGATTAATTGAATGAGAAATACTAAATCGTCTGTGAAAAACTGTTTCTTTTTTGTTTTGTTTGCTTGATTTCTTTCATACATCGTTTTAGCTTTATTATAGTATTTGAATAGAACATGTGACAGCGATAATTCTTCAAATGATATAAATTTTGTTCATTCAGAGTGTTGTTATAGTAAACAAATATAGTGAATTTTAAAGAGTGCATTTATTCTATTGTGGTTTATGCACTGTCGACGAAGTAGATTTAATTCAATCCAATCAATTTAAATGAAAATTCAAGAAAAAATGCGTATAATTTAATATTCCGTACAAGGAAGTCGTGGTCATCAGATTTTTATATAAATTATTATAATGATCTGAAATAGTTATTTACTCTTATGCTTCCATTCAGTTATATTAGCCTTTTTTTATATAAATTATAATATAAAAAGTATTATATGAAATTAACCTTTCATCTAAATTAAAACATCAATCTTAGATAGTTATTTACTATTATAATTCCTTTCTTGAGTTAGGGTTGCTGCGATTATTTTTGGCAGCACTGGCACCAACAGTAGTTTGGGGATTTTTTACGGTCCTCAAAATGGAATAGTACCAAATTGAGAATAATGGATTTGTTATTCATGTAAACCCAAAACCAGCATCAGAGCTCATATGGCAACATCAGCATCGAGTCGCAGAATTTAAGACCCATAGAGACTGTACGAGGCGTTAAGATGTCTAGCGCCGGCCCTCAATAAGGTTGCAATCACTTTAAGTATATGGTGGGAATTTATTTATTCAGAACTCTGCCTTAAATATGTGCAAGAAATAGACATAAATATAATAAATAACTAAACTAATACAATTCAGGCTTAATTGTCTCCATACACGATAGAAGCAAGATAAAATTTAACAGAACAACTTGTCATTAGTTGCCAAGCTCATGGTTCATAGCCAAAATATGTGTAGTGCAGGATAGTTAACTTTGATGATGATAGCCACTGATTGTAAAGGTTTTCGGATATCGCAAACAAAGGTGAAATTTTCCAATTAATGGATTTTGGAAAGAAATATAGAGAAGTAAGTCGTAATAAATGAAGATGATAAAAAAGAAGTTTTTCATTGTGATGGCAATGCTTCTCGATTATCAATCAATTAATGAATGGCAAAATTAGTAGTATGGTTCTAGATCCAGAAAATAGCGCTACCGGAAGTGAAAAAAGTGACAGAGAAAATACTGAAAATGGGAAAATTTTGATTGACAAGTTAGTCGAAATAGTAGCTACAGGACTTCAACAATGTAACTGAACATGAGATTATGTCTGTCTATAGAATTAAAGAGAATGTATTAGCATAAAAAACAAAGCAACTTACACAACTGACATTGAAAGAAATGTTTAATAAAGTAAACAAATAAATATTAAGCATTTTTTGTAAATTTTGATACCCTTTACATCATAAATACTTCATTATTTCATAAATCACGATTTCATATTTTTAATTTTGTTATTTCTACATGCTGTCTTAGTAAAATTAAACTGATGATCTAACATCCGGAAAAATTTCAAATCCCGAATTGCCAAAGTCGCAACGAGTCCAGATTTCGGACTTTGTACTCAACATGTAAATTTAAGTTAGGAAAAAAAGCAAAATAATATGTAATTAAAAATTACCATAAAAATAAATGTTATTTATGGAAATGGATTTGATTTAATTCTGTATTTGCAAAACAGTTACAAATATTTGTATACATACAATACTTCATTTGCCTATTATTAGATTTCTGTGGCTTTTTTCTGAAAACAGAACCGTTAAGAATATTACATTGTCGGAAAACAATAGTATTTAAAATTTCCTACAATGAATCTTGCACGTTATTTTTAATTTCATGTACAAGTATTGAAATGAGTGATTTGTTAGGTTTTCAGAATTTTGACCACTTTTTTTCAGCTTCACTATGGAAAAAGATAATGTTGAAATCATGCAAAATAATAATAAATAAGTGAAGAATAACTTAGTACAAAGTCAGTGAGGATTGTGATATAATGTGTAAATAGTATGCAGCAGTCAAAGAAAACAATTACAATACTAGGAAAATGGGGTAAAAGTTTACAATTGTCTACACCTTTTTTTTTTTTTTTTTTTTTTTTCCCCGATTATTTTATGATGCCAATATTGGCACCAGAAAAGCACAATTTCAAGATGATTCCAGAAAAGACAATTTCAACACAAAACCAAAAGAGCAATTCAAAGAATTGCACAAACTAGTCATTTTTTGTCCATGTACACATCAATCTATTTTCACTTAAATAAGGTCAGGAAGCCAAAAGTTAAAACTATCATGGTGACCAGAATAGGGGTTTTATCTGAAAAATCAAACAAAATTTGTCGCCAATCAAAAGGGCAGCCAATTCTACACTAGAGCCAAGAAATGGTTGTTTAATGTAGTTTACTAGTTTTGTTCTCTTTTTTTTTTTTTTTTTACTGAGTAAGGCATAGACACAAGATTTATTTGAAGTATTTCACATGACATGTTTCAAAAGTATTGTGAAAATTTTCTTCACTATTTGTTGTAAATGCAGTACAAAGTGTGATGTTGGGACTTGTCTGATTCCGCATTTGGAAATTTTCCGGATATTAGAATGTCACCCTAAATCTTGTAAGACGACATGTGGGAATTATAGAATTAAAAACATGAAATAATGATTTATCAAATAATAAAGTATTTATGATCTAAAATGTATAAAAATTTACAAAAAACAAAGGTTTATACAGTACAAAGTCTTTAATCCGGACTCATCGGGACTTTGGCGTTTCTGAATTAGGGTTTTTTCCGGATTATAAATCATAAATTCAAATCTGGTAAGATGGCATGCAGAAATTTTAAAATTAAAAATATAAAACCATAATTTATGAAATAAAGAGCAATTATGATATAAAGGGTATCAAATTCAAAAAAATGCTTAATATTATTTGTTTACTTTTAAACATTTCTTTTAATGTAGTTGTTTTAAGTTGCTTCATTTTATGTGCTAATATTCTTTAATTCTATAAAAAGACATAATTCTTGTTCGTTATAAAGTTTGCTGTTCAAACCGTAACTACTTGTCAATCAAAATCTTCGTTTTTCACTAACCTCTCCATCACTTTCTTCATGCCTTTATCCAGTTTTGCAGCAATTCCATTTTTTTTGATGGACATCGAAACTCTTTCGCTTTGTAATCCTTTGGCGGAAACGGAAAATTGGACATATCGAAAGTTCAACGTACTTCTTTAAAATTGCTCTAACCAGTCTGCAAAATAAGCCGGATCCAATTAGAAGATTAAGGAACAACGCAGTCTGCAAAATTCACTGAAATAGATAATTAGATAATTTTAGCCTAACTTATACCGACCGTTATACATTAAACGTGCATGCGTAAACATATTATGTATGTGCGTAAACGTATAATGCGTTTACGAGGTCCGGATTATGGATGTCCGAATTAAAGTCTTTGTACTGTATTCATTTGTTCCTTTATTAAGCATATTTTTCACTCTAAGTTCTTTTGTTTTTGTGCTTATGGAAAAAATATATTTCAGGCCCCAACTTGACTAAAGTTGCGATTTTTTTTTTTTTTTTTTCTTTTTCCATTTCTGATTAAGTGCAGTGTCCTCCCAAGTAAAATGTCATCCAAAATATGACGCAATAAAACGTAATTAAAATAAAAAATATCTAAATAAATTGCATTTTAAATCAAAATAAAACATGGAAATACAAATTATCTAATCTGTGCAGTTTGAAAAGAAAATGTCGACTTACCTGATTTAGAAATTGTGTCTTTGGAGTGTTTTGCACAAAATTGCTTAACAGCATCCAAAGGCGGTTTAAAATTATTTGAACTTGAATCTGTATACTGCCATCGGCACAGGGCCGGATTAAGGGTGTCGTAGGCCCTAGGCACTCCAGCAGTGTAGGCCCCGAAATAATAAACATTTTTTAACTGAAATTGATCGCTAATATTAAGTAATAATTTTGTTGTAGATATAAATCCGAAAATGTGATGATGCGGTAAAATAACATTATTTTATTTTGGGATTTTAATGTTTTTATTTTTCATAGAGCCATTTTCAATAGCCATAATTCCAGAATTGAGTTTATCTGCAACAATGCAACTTTTATATCTACCAAATTCCATGCAGAATTCCAGGGTTTTAGTACATGAACATGACAAGACATTAGCCGCCGGGAAAACCTCTCGGACGGGCACATGCGTTTGACACAGTTGGCCACGTTTCCATGCCCACTACCAAACGCTTGCGCGCGATCGAGAGGTTTTCCCTGCTGCTAAGGTCTTTTGTTTTAGTAGCTCAGTTGTGTAATAAGTTAATATGTAAACACTACGATAGAGCGTGTATGCCTGTGCTTGTATTTAATCACGCTCAACCCCAAGTCAATCTTTAGTTTAAAAACTGGAAGTTAAATTTATTATAAGTAAGGTAAGTAAAGGAAAGTTGTTTTTATACTCTACTTATTTCAACCTAGTTTTTGATTCTGGAATATTGCTTCATTCCATTATAAATAATAGAATTTTCATTTTATCACTTCTTATTAGTATAATAGTCCGCCGTAGAATGCAGCACAATGCAAGGAACTTTGAGTAGGCCTACTATGGGGTGGTTTGGCCATACTATTGTAAAAAATCTCCAGTAGTAGTCGTAGAAATAGTACAGTCCAAATCACCTTTGGAATAGCTTAATTTTAATCCATACTCGTAAATCCGGGTTTCGTTTTTACAAGTTTAAAATGCATTACTTAACAAATTTAAAATAACTTTTTAGCTTTCTGATAGCATAATAAAAGCGACGGGCGCAAACTAAAATGTATATTTAAAGGTGACGAGAAGAAGGAGGAGAAAACAAGTTTAAATTTTAGTTTGTGCGTGCCCATCGCTTTTATTATGGTATATCAGAAAGTTAAAAAATTATTTTAAACTTTTAAGCGCAATTTATAAAAGCTTTTTTTAAATATATTTTTTTTTAGCGAAAAATGTCTGATGGATATAAAAGAAAACACCAAAGTGGACATGAAAAACGCAAAAAGAAAGAGAAAGTGAGTGAGTCGCTTAGTAAAATTAAAGGTTCTTTATTGAAATATGTTAACATTTCTAAGGAGACAGAAGATAATGCAGATGCGGTAGATATTTCCTCGATCGAGGTTAGACCTAAAGAAGCTGAGGCTTGTTGGGACTCGCAAGAATGTTCAACCAATAAAACTGAGAATGTCACAGAAGACGAGGCTGACGGGGGTTTACGAAATTTTAACGACGCTTCCAAGCAGGTGGTGCCTGAATCACTACCAACAACATCAGCCTCAAGTATTTTCAGTTCTGATCCAGCACGGTGGACAACCATAAGCGCAGATCTTATCGATTACTTCTCTCGTAATCACCCTGTGCAGAAATTGGATATAAATTTTAAGTTATACGCCACTAAATTTGGCGAAATAATGAGATGTCCATCACAAGATTATTTTTTCAGAAAACTGAACAACAATGATATTATAAAAAGGGACTGGTTGATATTTTCCGAATCTACTGGCAAGTTTTTTTGTTATAAATGTATTTTGTTCAAATCGGACCTACCTGGAAATCCAAACCTGTGTAACCAATTCCTTACAGGCTTTAATGACTGGAAAAACGCACATTCGAGAATTTCAAGTCATGAAGTGTCAAAAGAACATTTTGCATCTATTTCTGCTTTAGTGAACTACCAACAAACTAGAAAAATTGATGAGACGTTTGATATTGTCAAGGAAAAAGAAAGCACATATTGGACAACGGTTTTAAGAAGAGTAGTGGAAGTAATTAAGTTTTTGGCCGAAAGGGGACTAGCGTTTAGAGGCGATAATGAAATACATGGTGATCCTAGTAATGGCAATTTTCTTGGGTGTATCGATCTCTTAGCCAAATTTGATCCGTTTCTAGAAGAACATGTAAGAAGATACGGTAATCCAGGCCGCGGAAAAGTATCATATTTATCCTCCACAACGTATGAAGAACTAATAATTTTACTGGGGTCAAAAGTATTGGAAAAAATAGTTACAGAAATCAAAGAAGCCAAGTATTATGGAATCACTGTGGATTCTACACCTGACGTTAGCCATACGGATCAACTCTCCATAGTTATTAGATATGTCTCAAAAACTGGAGATATATATGAAAGATTTTTGATGTTTGTTAAAATAGAAAAACATGATGCCAAGTATCTTTTTGACACTCTAATTTCAGTTTTAGAAAATCAGGGAATAGACCCAAAATTTTGCAGATGTCAGTCTTATGACAATGCGGCTAATATGAGCGGAGTGTATTCGGGAGTACAAACTAGATTTAGGGAAATCAACAGCGCAGCCACTTGGGTACCATGTGGAGCTCATAGTCTTAATCTAGTTGGCACAGCGGCGGCAGAAAGCTGCTTAGAAGCTGTAAAAAATTTTTGAAATTTTGCAATCGCTCTACAATTTCTTTGCAGCGTCCCCTCAAAGATGGTCTAAACTAAGGTCTTTGGGAAGTAAAATTTCTGTAAAAAGACTTTCAGAGACCAGATGGTCAGCACGTTATGAGGCTGTAAAAACATTATGTGCCCATTATGATGATATACGTGGTATTCTTACAAATATTTCAACTAGTGAAGGTATGAAACCTACAACAGTGATTGAGGCACAAACCTTAATCCATCAAATGAATACTTTGGAGATGGTATTACTCACAGTTATTTGGGAAGATCTACTAAAACACGTCGATATTGTAAATAAATCTCTTCAAGAACCTGGCATCGAGTTTAACACGATGGTGCGACTTTACGACAGTTTAATTCAATATTTATCTCACTGCAGAACTGAGGACATGTATAATAGCTATTATCTTAAGGCAAAAGCCCTTGCACCAGATTCAGAATTTAAAGAATCCGAAACTAGAGTTCGTAAGAGAAAACGACAGTTCGATGAAGGGCCAGATGAGACTCCCTCTCGCAGTGCCAAAGATTCCTTTAAGATTAATGTTTTTTTTTATTGTTCTGGATGTGCTTTGCGCTGAAATGACAAAGAGACGCACTGCGTATACCAGCCTTTATGACACATTTAGTTTTCTTACGGATAATACACTGACCGAGGACATTATCAAGGTTAAGGCTCAAGCTCTGGTAAAAATGTATCCGTCTGACTTAGAAGAAAACTTTGTTGATGAGTATTTGATTTTTTCAAATTTGTACCCCAAAACCACCTCTATAACGGATCTCATCAAATTACAAATAAAGGATAAACTTGTGTCAAGTTTCCCAAATGTTAATATTGCATTGCGCATATACCTTTCGATATTGGGTTCGAATGCAGAAGGAGAAAGATCATTCTCCAAGTTGAAGCTTATAAAAAATTTTATGCGTTCAACTATGGGTCAAGAGAGAACTTCGTCACTGGGCCTTCTGTGTATTGAAAGTGATGTCGCTCGCGGCATTAATTTTGAAGATATAATACACGAATTCGCTGTGTCAAAATCCCGAAAAAAGGAGTTATTTTAGGATCTACTTAGTAAACCAAACGTTTTGTATTCGTATTTTTTGTGTATTTGTATTTACATATATTATTTTGACCTTCACTATATAATAATATAAAAATGTTTATAAGTTTTTGGGGTATTTTTATTTCAATATATTTTTTTTCAAAGCCCTAAGACCTTTGGCCTTCGTAGGCCCTAGGCACGTGCCTACTGTGCCTTGGTAATCTGGCCCTGCTCAGCACATAAATCGCAAAAGTAAGAATAAAATCGGTACTTTCTGTTTCGCCGGCCAGATCCGCAAGCGAATATGGGACAACAAACAGTGAACTAAAAAAGTTAACAATTAGTTTAAGAATTTTTTTTGAAGTCATAAATATTTTTTATGTTTAAAATTGAAAAGCATAAATAAAGACAGTAAATGTAAAAAATTAATTTAATAATTTACCTGTTTTATGGTTAACATCCTGATAACCAGTTCATATACATGACCCCAAGTGGTCTCATCTCACGTAAACTACGCTACAAAAATCTAATCTCTCAGTAATTATCTACAGAATTTTAAGTTAAATCTATTTGGAGTGCAAGTAAATGAAAGAAATTTCAATCATACGAATAACTTACTCAGAAATTATGTAAAACAGCAGTGCTTACTTCGCTAGTGCATTCTCATTTGAGTGGTGAATTTAATCCTGACTTTCTTTTCATATTTTCGCGTCGGGTGAGCACAGTGTTTGCATTCTAATTGACTTAATTACCGAGAATGGCCTTGGGGCATAAAATTGAACTATCTGGTAAAAATTCTATGTTATTGTATGCCAGTATTGAAAGAAACACTCAATCTGATAAGAAGTGGCTGCTACATGTTTTGAAAATGAGGCGTAAAAGCTTACCAGCAAGGATATTCCGTTTGGCATCAGTTGTTCCATTATTGGTAACTTTTTCGCCTGCGCCGGCAAAACGGAAATGTACCAAATATCCTTTGTAGTGCCGAACTGTTAATGGCATTTCTTTTCAAAATCCGTTCTTATTAATCCCTGCATATGGTTTGGTTCATCTTGGGGTGATCCTCAGTAAAACTCTCTCATGGGACTCGCACATAATATCTGTCCTTAAAAATTTCTAGTTAGTAACTTCAATCCTTGATTTCTCGAAACAGTGTACTTTCAATAAATAACAAGTTGCTTATTTATAAAACTGTTTTGTGTCTCATACTATGCATATTCATGTAAATCATATAGAAAAAAAGTTACAGTGGGCACAAAATTGTGCCCTAAGACAGATACCCAACTTTCCCTGGTACGTTTGAAATCAGAAACTTCATGGTGAATTAGGCATTGAACAACTGAAATATTTTTATGAATTTTTATGCTAACATCCGAAGTATTATCAACCCTGTTATAAGGGTTTACGATTATGATGTGAATCACCCAAATAATTGTAAATGGCCTATGGCCTTACTGCACATATTATTTAAATTGACATGCTTTACTTGTACTGTACATTTGTGACTTATGTTATAATTTAAATGCACCAATTGACTCGCACTACCTGTAATGTATATATGTATCTCTAGACTCAGGTTAAAGCCAGCTCGTTTCCTCTTTCTGAGCTTTCACAGATGGCATTTTTAGGTTTTTATTGGAACTCGGCGCACACTTTATTTTCTGATAGAATTACCAGTCATCTTACTCTCTTTTTACTAAAAAATTATAACATAATAATTTGAAGAAAAATATTATATTTTATGTTATGTACTCATAACAACATTCGATAACCCACGTGTTTGACAAGGGGTAGGATACTTGACCCAGGTACCTTGGTGCTACACTGCTTCCATGTGAGTGAGATACAGTATGGTTCTTTAGAGAAATAGCTGCATGTACGTACAGCAGAAAAAACTGATGTGTAAGGTATGTAAGAGTTAATTTGGATGAAAGGACATTTTAAACATGCATATGCTTATTCGAAGAGGAAAAAAAACCTCACGTGTGTGAGGTATATAACAAGTCATTTGATCCAACTAGTTATATAAACAACCATATACTTATTCACGAAGGAGAGAAACCTCATGTGTGAGATATGTAATCACACATTTACTGAAAAACGAACATAAAATCCCATCTGCTTAGTCACACAGTACAAAAACCTAATGTGTCTGAGATACGTAATATGTCATTGAAAAACCCGTATACGTGTTTACACAGGAAAGAAACCTCATTTGTGCGATGTATGTACCAAATCGTTTGCTCGAACTGATCATTTAAAAGCATATATGCTTATTCACACAGGAGACACACTTTATGCATGTGAGGAATGTAACAGGTCATTTACTCTAAAAGCTCATTTAAACCGACATATACTCATTCACTCAGAACAGAAACCTTATGCATGTGAGGAATGTAACAGGTCATTTACTCTAAAAGCTTATTTAAACAGACATATACTTATTCACACAAGAAAGAAATGTTTTGTGTGTGAGGTATGTAACAAGTCATTTATCAAAAAGGTAATTTAAATAAACATATGCTTAATCACGCAGGAGAGAGACTTCATGTGTGTGAGGTATGTAACAAGTCAAAAAAGTAATTTAAATGAGCATATACGTATTCACACAGGAGAAAAACCTCATGTGTGTGAGATATGTAATAAGTCATTAAAAGAGAATTTAAACAGATATATGCTAATTCACACAGGAGAGACATCTCATGAATGTGAGATATGTAATAAGTTATTTGCTGACAAATGTAGTTTAAACAAACATGTACTTATCCACACAGGAGAGAAACCTCATGTGTGAGATGCATGTAATAAGTCATTTACTCGCATAGTGTACACAAACATGTACTTATCCAAACAGGAGAGAAACCTCATGTGTGTGATATATGTAATGAGTCATTTACTCACAAACATAGTGTAAACAACCATATACTATTCACACAGGAAAGAAACTCCATGAGTCACATGTGTAAGAAATCAGATCTTAAAAAGAATTGAAAGGTTCATGCCTACAAGTATTAGAAGGCTGGTGTCTTTTGTCAAAAAGTTAGAAACATTACTCACCTGTGCAGTAATGACGTGTCCATGCTATTAAGAGATGTCTTTCTATAAAGCATATTTAACTTGTCTTTTCATATCAATTCTTAATAATCATTTATTTGTTTCCACAAGAGGAAAACCTCATATTTGCGAGATAAGTCACAAGTCATTTTATCATCATGTTAGTGTGAAATACAAGACTTATTTTTCATAAAATTTGTTCCTGGAAATCATGCCATTAGTATAACACACTACATGTGTTTCCTGTGCGATATGTATTAGTATTTCATATCACATATGCAGGCTGATTAAAGTGTTGCTGATTTAAAGCAATTCTTATTCTTATTATTTAATTAGTAATGAAAGATATAAAACAGCATGTTTGAACAGTGAAAATTTAATGACTGTTTATAATGTTTTGAATCAAGAAATTTTAGTGATGTCACATTCTTCCCATTCAGGTAATGTCATGAAATGTTTGAAAGCTTGAAATTTTGAACATTTTCATTTGACTGAAAATTTCATTCACATTTTGCTCTGTAATCCACTTTTCACTGCATTTTTGTAAAAAGTATGGAATGTGAAATACTATCTTGTTTTGTGATAACTTTGGTACTGCAGGATTTAAGTAGTTCTATCTTCTTTTGTTAACTTCTGGAACTGCTTTTTTAATGTTGAGAATGCTTAGAATTTAGATTTCTGTAAGCTTATGTGTTCAATGTCATATATTTAAAATGTTAATTTGGTTTGAGGTTTTTTTTTTTTTTTTCGTGGTAGTGCATAATCATCTTCCAGAACCGGGTATAATCTTCGTCAAGCATTCTGTAAACAAATAGGATACTTATTGCTTAAACTCAGGGATAATTTATAGATTAGAAGGCGAGGCCTAGGGAAGACTGTAGTAAAGAGG